GTGATAAAGACTTCAAGAACTCTTTAAGTCCATTGATAAATATACCCTGCTCTACATGACACAGCCAGACATAGCCTTGAAGATACTATAAGGGACAACGGCAGAAGGGTGAAGGAGCTGGGTCACTTCCTACCTACCTGTCATAGAACGTGGGCCAAGAAGAGATTGGAAATGAACATCTGGCTACACAGATGGGGCCAACAGGAATGGTTTAGATTTTAATAAGAAAACATGTTTCCAAGACAGGAGACTCCTGGCAGGGGATAGGCTACACCTCACAAGAATTAGGAAGAACATGCTTATAGAGTCCTTGGTCTTCTCTGAGCTTGTTTTCTTGCAAACATTTTGTTATCTATGTGCTTAGAAAGTGCTTTGCCAATCTGATCCAGAGGACTTTAAACTGAAATGTTTCAAGTGGGAGAAGGGAACTCAGAAAATAGTGCAAGACCAGGTACATGTACTGGGAATGGGGCTAAAAGGAGTATGCAGGATGTGTTGGCCCCCAATAATAATGACAGAAATACAGGAAGGACTACACCAAGTCACAAGGATTCCAAGTGCCTTTTATACAAATACAGAGTGTGAGGTACGGACAGAAAAAATGAAAAGCTTAATGCAGGAAGGCAAGTAAGATCTGGAAGGCATTATTGAGATCTGGTGGGATGAAACTCATGAGTGGAATCCAGGGATTCAAGGATTTGAAAGAAATAGAGAAAAGGGGAGTAGGAATGGCATTGTGTGAAGGAAATGCACATGTAGAAACCCAGTAATCGGAAAGCTAGAGCCCAGTTGGGAGCATTTTGGTAGAAATACAAGAAGAAGGAAAAGGGAGACAACAAAGTTATTATGGGTGGGTGGGTGTTACAGGCCATCTAACCAGGTGGAACATATGGATAACGCCCTCTTGGACCAGATTACCTTTCAAGGAGGAAAAACATAGAAGAAAGCAAGCCAGAAATGTATTGTTTACCTGCTTTTAGCAGCAATGCCCACCAATAGAAATGTACACATATTCTTTTCACTTGAAAAATGGTTTAAGATTTGGTTGATTGACCTGCTTGACAAGGTCTCCAATAAAACTCACGTTTAAAAAAACTGTCAGGCTTGGCAGGATTTTAGGTGTTATAAATGACAAAGTGACTACTCATTAGGTGTATGGAAAATTAATTGGCCTGATATAGGACTGTGTAATGTATAGGTGATTGTATGCAATGTACAGTATTATAATAAGAATAATGCTATCTGTTGGAAAGTCAACTCTACCCAGATTGCAAAGTCCTTAAAATTCTTTAGTAGTCTTGTTGTGGTTTCTTTTGTTTTCCAGAAGGGTAGGGTTTTCCTAGATCTGATCCTACCCAACAGAAAAGGTAAAAGGTAAAAGTAGTGGAAAAGGTAAAAGAAATGGAGAAAATGACAACTTCACCTTGGGGTGAAAGATACTATAGAAAAGGAAACTGAAGCATAGTCATACATGCACACTAGATTTCGGGAGAGTCAATTTCAACAAGCTTAGAGAAGTACTAGATAGGACACCATGCACAGAAATCCTCAGGTCTAATGGAGAACAGGAGGGTTGTGACTTCCCAAAAATAAGATACCTTGAATACAATCACAAATACATTCATCCACAACAGCTTAGGAAACTCTTGTGGATGAATAGAAAGCTTTCCACTGAGCATGTTAAAAGGGGCACATATAGGAAATGATGGGTATAATATAATTATTATGGAGGTGTGCTACCAAGTAGCTAATACTTTCAGGTGGAAAAAGTCAGGAAGGCTAAAGCAGAAGAAAAAAACCCACAACCTTCAGCTTGCAAGGCAACCCAAAGGGCTAGTTTTGCTATCTCAGCATTAAAAGGAAAACGAAAGGAATGTGTAGGCTGTTCACTCAGCATGATGATGGCAGCATAGTGATGGGGAGAGGGCAGAGCTGCTCTTTGGTCTTCTACTCAAAGGTGAACTATGTTCAAATGGAACTAAACAAAACAATTCACAAAACGAGGGAGTGGCAGTCAAGTAGGTCAAGTGATCTGGTTAGCTTGATATCAGTATTGAGCAAACCTCTGGAAAATAAGCAGTTGATTTGTGAGCAATCAGAAAAAAATGCACTGCTTGGCAGAAGGTAGCATAAAAATAAGGCTTATCAAGACAAGATAAGGCCAAACTAACCTGATCTCCTTCCCTTGAGACAGTGACCTCCTACTTGATTAATCACAAGAATGCAATGGACAGAGCAAAGCATTCAACAAAGTCTCCTGTAAGATTCTAGCATACAAGATAACAAAATATGGGATGAAGTATGCTATCTTTAAATGGATATAGAGCTGACTGAAAAATTGCACATAATGAGTTTAAGTAGGCTCTGCAACGAGCTAGAAAGAAATGTCAAATTATGTTCTGCAAGGCTCTGTTCTAGGTCTTTTGCTGAGGTCAACATATTTCTAAAAGTCCTGGATGAGGGTGTTAAAAAAACAAGATTACTGAATTGTGGACATGGCTGAATATGAGCCAACAGTACGTTGCAAAAAAAGCAACTAGGGTTTTACGCTGCACCAACAGAAGTACAGTGTCAAGATCAAAATAAATGATCATTCCTCTCTATTCAGTACTGGTCAGACCACACCTAGAGTATTATATCCACTTCTTTGTACCACATTTTAGGAGGGAAGCTGCCAAACTGGAAAGTTCCCAGAGGAGAGCAGTCATGATAAAGGGCCTGAAAGGAAACTCTTATGGGAATAGTTTATTTATTAATTGTAAAGATTTATATGGCTGCCCAATCAACATGCAACTCTGGGTGGCCAACAATCAATAAAAAAGAGCAATAATTAGAAAAAAAAATAACAACAACCTATCATGCATGGATAAACTCAACAAAATACCACTCAATACCAGAACAATGCTCAAGGGAAGAGCATTACAAAAGGCTGGCAAGTTTGGGGGCATCCAAATCTCAGGGGGTATGCTGTTCCCTAGGGTCCCATTAGATGGCACTATTTAACAGAGCAGAGTTCTTCAACCTTGATGACTTGAAGATGTGTGGACTTCAACTCCCAGAATTCCCCAGCCAGCATGGCTGGCTG